AACGGGATTCCCCATATTTCCGTATATTTTCTGGGTTTTTGTCTTCCCCCCCACTTCCCATATTTTCCTATATCTCCCGGGCATCGACAATTAATTGTCTGTGTGTTGTTTCCCTCCTGAGTTTACTACCAAGATCCCGCGTTGCCTCCCCAGGACGGCTCGACGTCGCCGCCTTGCTTGCACTGCCGACTGCACAAGCATGGCGTTTTGTTCACGATGAGCGCGACGAGGACATGCACGCAGCTCCGAATCCTCGAAGGAGTGACAGACCCCGAGGCGTCGACACGAGAGGAGCTCGCATGGACAGGTTGTACTGAAGCCGGGCGATGGCCGCTCCTGGCGGGTTGCCGCTCCATCCGAAGCAGAGGCCGTCGGCGCGACAGCAGGCTCACGACACCATGAACCACGAGGTAGCTGGCATACTATCAAAACGTGCATTAAGGACGGGTGAGAAGGACGCAAGACCCTTGGAGGCCGAAGTTGGGCTTTTTTACGGCGGCGGGCGACCAGTGATACTGGCAAGGACGGGCTTCAGAGGCAAGGACACAAGGGTACCCTGGATGAAGGCGCGCGTCCTTACGAGGCGCGTTGACTGTACCAAACCTCGCGCTGCGCGCTGCACGACGAACGGCCCGTGGGCGTCTGCGCTTGCCCGCCGGGGCCCCCGGAGAAGAGCAGCTCTGCGGCCCGGACTGCGAAGCGCGACCTCTGCCCTGCGAGGTGAAGGACGCGCACCCCTGGCCAATCCAAGCTGCAGTCGGCGAGCAACATCATCACGACATGCAGGGCGACCCCACGCAACCTCCCAACCCAAGAGGCCCCAGCATCCTGTTCCAGAACCCACGGCACTGTGATTTGAGTGGGCGGCATTGCGTGAGAACCGTGGCGAGCGCGACGGCAAGCCCACCGAAGCTCTGTGGGCCTCGAGCGCCGCCCGACGGCGTCCCGACGAAGGAGGCCAGGCCGCGCAGACACCCGCAGAGACGCGAAAGAGTCTCTGCCGCGCTCTGGCTGCACCTCTCCCTGCCTGCACTCCACCCCCACGACTGCGCCTTGCGGGAAGGGCAGCATGCGCGCTCCCTGTGCCCCCCTTCCCCCTCCCCCTCCCTCCGCCCCATCCCTCCTCCCACCCCTGTCATCGTCTCTCCCCCACGCAGCTGGGGAACAAAGCAGATGCAGAAGTGCGCAGACGCGAGTTCGTGCAGGGATGCCCGCCCACGGCCCATGCGGAACCCCACATACAACCCAAAACATGCGAACCACCCGTGCACAGAGACCAGCGCGCAAAGGGTAGGGAGCGTTCTCTCCCCGTTCCCTCCATTCTTCCGTCGTTCCCTCCCCGTCGATCCCTGTTCCCTCCCTTCCTCCCCGCGTGGAATTCTAGCTGGCTGGTCTGGAGCAAAAGGCTGCAGGAGGGAAGGAACGGGGAGTGGAATGACAGGGGGGGACAGGTGAGGGCGAGGAGGAGGAGGACGAAGGTAAACCCAAGACGCGCCAACAAATTTGCAATCAACAATCCATCCACGTTCCCTTCTCATGGGCCCCCAATAAGCTGTATCTTAACTTCGGGGAATGCCCAAATGGAGCACAACCGTATGAGAATGCTCAACGGAACCCCCAAAAACGTTCCTGGGACTGCAACGCCGCATGATTGATGGGTCCTGACAGTCCTAAGCCGTGCCAGAACAACGTTCTTGGGACTTCAGCGCCGCGGTTCAACGTGACTGCTGCGTTCTGGCAATCCCAAATCGCGCCAGAACGCTGTTCCTGGAACTTGACTGTTGCGCCCTGACAACCTTGAATCATACCAGGAAGTGGTTCCTGGGACTCAGCGAAGGGCTTGCCAAACAAGGTCCAGATTCCAACGAGGGCGGTGAGTTCTTCCACGCCAAGGGCCGTTTTCCTGTGCAAGTTCTGGATGGGGCGAAGGCCGCCTCGAGCCTGTGATCTGAACACTGCTCGGCTTTCGACGGTTTCTTGCCTGCACGCAGACATTATGAAAAGGCTGCGAATTATCATACATCGCTCTCTACGGTCATTGCTCGATCGGATTCCGTGATCAGACTGCTATGCGTTTTCAAATGCTTGCCACTCTGCTAGCAAGTATTCGCACACCTTGGACTGTTGCTGCCGATGTGCAGTTCTCACCCGACGCACTTATCAAACCAGGTTCCAATCGTGGATTGGCCATGGACATCACCACCGCCCTCATCGGATGAAGGATCCTCCAGGGTCTGGCGCCTCATGGGACGATTCCTTCACAAACGCCCCCACCGCATCTTGTCGCCAGCCCATCTGCTCGACCCTGCATCCGGGCGGCGCAGGCTGCGCGTGCCGTGCCGTTTGGCGGGCCCATCTCGACCGAAGTGTGGAGCTCGCCGCTGCAGTAGGGGAACAAAAAGTGGCATAAACATGAAAACTCGGAGGTCCGCGCGGATTCTCGGATCCGCGCTGGACACGCATGTCACTCGGTCTGTACCTCTTGAACCCCGGCGCCCTGGAAAGCAGTCCACCGAGGGCTCGGAGCCGCGGCGGCGAGGCGGCGACGGGGCGGCGGCGATGGCGGCCACATAGCCGCCAGACCGAAGACACGGCCCCGTTACTCGGACCAGGCGGAAGAGCCCAGAACTGCAAGCACAGTGTGGGGAGCTACCTCCGTACACATCAATCTGTCACATCGCTTGCGGGTGGGCGACCTCCGCCAATCAGGCAGAGGGTCGAGAAAACACACGCGTAATCGGACGACGGCTTGACTCCTTGGCACTTGTAAGACGACGGCTAAGGCAGGTCTTTCAATCGCCGGCAAAAGCGTTGAGACATGCACCAACTTTGGCGACGCGGGTACCATTGTTCACGCGTGGCCGCTCGCGGGTTCAAGCTGAAGATGGCCGCTCAGGGTGCGTAGCTGGGCGGAGATCTGAGTGGAGGCAAGCGGCGCGGACGAGCGACTCGCGCAGCAAGAGCTGCCAAACGTGCGTCCATGTCAAAGAAAAGTGCTGGCTACGCTCGGACATTGCGAAGGAAGGCGCAACCTGACCTCAACTTTCGAGCAGCAAAGCGCCTAACCAGCAAGAATCTACGCACATCAACTCCACGGGATTGTTGAAGGGCAGCTGACCACGGTGCGTCGTAGAGGCTGGCGAGCGCTGTTGCTCCAAGGCTGACAGGAAGATGCGTCGCTGCGCCTTTTGACCTGTGCGCTCTTTTGCGGGATCAAGCATGCCGTCTCTCAGTTGACACGTGTCGGCTTTGGATAACATCTTGGGCATCAGGGCCCAGCTTCCGTGCCGGTGTGAATCGCACTTGGACTAGCAGACTAGCATGGCTCAGGCACATCAGCAACAAAAACAACTCTTCAACGATGTCGGCGTATCCGCGGATCGCAGGGCGCGATCATCATGCACTGCTCAGTGCGGGCTGGACGCCCACTGCGCGTACTTCTTGACTGTGCCCGATGATCCGGGCAGCCTGGATTTAAAACATCGCGGCGCTCCCAGGACACGTGGCTGATGACGTTCCCGAGCCTTTCTGTGCTGAACATGGCGAGTCTGTTCAGCACCAGCTTTGGGCCCATGCAGCCCAAAACTTCGAGGGCTCGGGGATGGAGGGAGGAGTAGGCAACTTCTCCTATTTTTTTCGTCGGCGGCGAGGCAAGAGTTGGCTGCACCAGCGGTAGAGCTCGACGGGGGGCACCGAAAAGCGAATTGGCCAGCACCTTCTCTCGCAGGCGTCTGCCTGCGCAGCTCGCGCAGGCACCCGGCGGCCGACGCCTCGCTGGTCTCCTGCTTTTGCGGCCGCCATATACAGTCGGGGCGTTGACCTAAGGAACGAGGCCTTTTTTTTCTCCATACATTTAACTTCGATTTCCCATCGAAAACATAAGGAAAACCTGAGGCAAGCTGTGAAACACTCAGGGAACACGGAGCCCCTCCCCAACGAAAAGGGTTCCTTCTTCAGGGCCCCGACTGTAGGTGCCGCGTGGCCGCGCTCGCGGCGACGAACCACATGTAGGCGGCAGATCTCCCTCATGTGTGCAAGTGAAGTTCAGGCTCGTGCGCCAGGTTTTCATGGCGGCAGCGGGGCGTGCGCGGAGAGCAGATCTCACCGAGTACGGAGACGTGAAGGTGAAGGACGCCAAGCATCCAATCTACTACAAACTGAGCGAGCCTTTCGTTGGCAAGGCCTACCCCCAGGGTGAATCGGAGGCTTGCCTTTGGACACGAGGCTGGATTCCACACGGATGGGTCTAAGTGGAGACCCCCCAAGCTCAGGAAAATTGGCATGGTGCAGATGATCACGCGCTTGCTGGATTTGGAGTCGGGACCGCCACGAAACCCTCTTCTTGTTCGGCGACGCTAATAATGGACAAGAAACTCATCACCTATTTCATCGGCGTGCGAGGCTAGGCATAGCCCTCTTCTGAGGGTTGAATGAGAGTGTGGACATGGATATCGATATGTGGAGTTGGCTCCCAAAAGAGCGTCAAACAATCGTCCGCGGAGAGCTGTACTGCCTGTGATCCGTGTGCGTGGGAATGTTGGTCACATCGTGTACGTCACGGGTGGCAGCAGCGTGTGCTGGATGCACCCCGCAGGCTCTGACGCAGATCTCTGGTGGAAAAGCTGAGGTAAGTTCATAGGATGCCCACTCTCATATGCACAATTGTGTTTGTACATTCACATCCTGAGGCCCGAGAGACGGTGATCCCTCATGCCCCCCCCTTGCTCAGAGTAGGCGGCGCTATTGCTGCCTGCTTCGCGCCCGCTGGAGCCGAGGTCGCACGCCTTTGTCAGAGCACGCGAACTAGGGCACAGCAGTGTGAACACCTTGCCTTTTTAGTTCGTCTGCGCATACTTCTGAGCACCCTTGAGGCCATTCGTGCCGAGGAGGCCCTTGCAGCTCTTGCGTGAACCTGACGAGAAACAGTCCCAGGTCGTTCGGCCTCCTGCTGTGAATGTGTGCTATTTCTTTGCAGCGTGTCACCTGCTTAATGAAGGCTAACAATAGGAACTGTCATCCCCAGCAGCTAAAAAGACGTTGTTAGTTGACCCGTGTTTCGACTTGATTGATGTAGGTGGTGTTGTAAGTAGGCCTCCTCCTGGGCGAAGGGTGCACACCTCGAAGGGGGGTGCGCACGCGAAACGCACCGTATGCAATTTCACACGGGTTGGGGCTTGTGGTTGTGCACGTCTTGTGGTATTTCCAACTGTTGCGGAAGTTTCAACAGAGGTGCGAGGATGTTAGCACAGGCAGCCGACGTGACGCTATCAAGTTGGAAACGTACATGTATATGTTATACTCTCCACCGTGCCGCGAGGCGCGGGGAGTTGTTCCCAGGCTCGCATGTGCTCTCTGTCCGAGTCCTGTATTGCAGTGTTCTAGGGGCGGGGGGCCCACATTCTTGGACCGTTCCGGCTCCAATTAGTAGAGCGGCGCTCTGCTAATTTGCCTCAAGGCAGGTGTACTCGTTGCTTTCCCCCTCATTCGCAGAGCGCTGCTCTGCTAATCGGCCTCCAAGCAGGGTTCCCCATCCTGCTCGGGCTCTGATTCGCAGAGCGCCGCTCTGCTATTGGCCTCAGAGCATGTGCGCGTTCACGGCTCCTCCTCTCATTAGCAGAGCGCCGCTCTGCGAACTTGACTCAGAGTACGCGCACTCACTGCTCATGCTTTTTTCGCCCGAAAACACCAAAACGGCCAAGAGGGCTCCAAGAAGCGCCCAAGAAGGTCCGGAAGGCCTCCAAGACTGCCAAGACGGCCCCAGAGGCCCCCAAGACCGCCCCAAGAGGTCCCCAAAAGAATCCCAAGACGGCCAAAGATGGCCCCAAAACGGCCCAAGAGACGTCCAAGACGGCCCAAGAGAGATCCAAGACTGCCCCAAGAGAGGCTCAAGAAGGGGAACACGAATCGACAAGTCGAGCCTTCCGCCCCAAGAAGCCCCCAGGAGGCCTCCAAGAAGTTTTAAAAGGCGCCCAAGAGGCCCCCAATAGGACTAACAAGAGGCCCGAAGAGGTCCCCAAACGGCCGTCAGAAGGCCTCAAACTGCCTCCAAGAGACCTCCCACGATATCCCAACGAACATCCAAGAGGCCTCTAACCCATAACCCAGGCACAGTGCCGGGATGGGCCGAAGGCCACTCTCTCTCTCTCTCTCTCTCTCTCTCTCTCTTCTCTCTCTTTCTCTCTTTCTCTTTCTTGTTTCTTGGTTTTTGTTGTTATCTCTCTCTCTATGTGTATATATATATATTATTAGTATTATTAATATTAGTAGTAGTAGTATTATTAGTATTATTATTATTAATATCATTATTATTATTATTAGTAGTAGTAGTATTATATATATGTATCGCATCTCCAGCGGTCTCTGACCACAGGTCTACAGCAAGCGTGAGAAAACGAAGGGGTCAGAACACATTTGAAGGCTGTTGCAGTCACCATACCCAGAACTCCAGAACCCCTCCTCCTTCTGCGCGCTGAATGAAAAGGGGGGGGAGGCGAGAGAGGTCCGCCCCGTCCTGCCGAAAGCCTCGCCAGCCAGCCGCTCCTCCTCCTCCTCCTCCACCTCCACCTCCTCCTCCTCCTCCTCCTCCTCCTCCTCCTCCTCCTCCTCATCCTCCTCCCCCGAACCCCCGACCGTCGCCATCAGACGGCCCGCCACTGGACGGCTCCGAGGCCTCAGGGGCCCTGGGGCGATAGAGACACCCCCACCCACGGAGCGGCCCAAGCCCCAGAACGGCCCGCCCACCCCGGATCGCCTCTCGGCCCACCAGACGGCGTGGTCACCTGCTCCCTTCGGGGGCACCTGGCAGCTGCCCGCGTCCGCGCGGTGAAGACATTGGAAAGGAAGCCATTGGACAAGGAATCCAGGGTATGGGTGCCAGTGGGAACTATAATCGTGGACTGGCCATGGGTATCTCTGCCGCCCTCACTAGACAGGGGGTCCCCCAGGGCCTGAAGCCTCCCAGGCACACTCCCCAACCAACGTCCCTACCGCAGAGGGCACTGATGCAGGGGGGACTGGCTCAAGGGGGTGGCAACATCGACCTGGAATTGGCGATAAAGTCTCGACTGGTTGGCGATCGGCCCCCGATGGCGAAGCCACACGTTCCTGGGCGGGGTGGGCTGGGGGCTACTGCGTTCCCCCTGGGGATATCCCCTCCTAGCGTGGCCCCTTGGCTTCTGGGCCTCAACTCGGCCCCCCGGCAGCCGCTTGGGACTATATGGGCACCCCCGGAGTGCTCCCGGCGACGCGCAGCCGCTGGAAGCCACCACGAGGCTGGAAAAAACCGACGAGAAACGACGAGAACGCAAACCAATCTGGAGCCTCGAACCTCGAAGCTTCGTGCCCCCTCGCGTCGCCCCTGGGTCCAGGGGCCGAGCAACACATCCGCGGGCCCACTCCTCCGGCAGCGGGCGCCGCGGGCGCCGGCGCCCTGGAGGCGGCGAGCGCCGCGGGCGGGGGCGACGCGTCGCAGGGGCCCTGCTCCGCGGCGGGCGACAGCAC